CTTCAGCTGCTTTTTAACGGAGACCACTGAGTCCACTGATCTCAGGCTCAGGGGGAGAGAGTTCCAGAGTCTGGGGGCCACAGCAGCAAATGATCTGCCACCTTTGGTCTTTAGCTTGATGTGCTGCACAACCAGTAGGCTTTGATCACTGGACCTCAGGGACCTGCTGGGGGTGTAGGGACTAAGAAGATCACCAATGTAAGACGGTGCTTGTCCATGTAGGGCCCTAGACCAGAACCAGGATCTTGAAATGAACCCTGAAGTTGACTGGCAGCCAGTGAAGCTGGAGGAGAAGCGGGGTGATGTGGGTGTGTTTGGAGGACTTGGTCAGAAGCCGAGCACAGGCATTCTGAACCACCTGTAGACGGTTCAGGGAGGTTCTGCTCAGACACGTGAAAAGAGAGTTACAGTAGTCTAAGCGTGAGGAGATGAAGGTGTGGAGAACTGTCTCAAGTTCAGAGCGGGACAGAATGGGACTCAGCTTAGCAATGTTCCTGAGATGGAAGAAGGAAGAGCGAACAAGAGAATTCACATGAGAATCCAGGGTGTGATCTGGGTCAAAGGTCACACCAAGATTCCTGACAGAAGGTTTGGTGTGAGAAGCAAGCTGACCAAGAGAGTCTCTGACTTTGGGAACCAGCTTGACTGAGGCACAGATGAGGATCTCAGTCTTATCTTCATTCAGCTGAAGAAAGCTCCCAGCCATCCAGGTTTTGATAGAGTCTAAGCAGGTGTGTAACAGCTGCAGCTTAGACATCTCAAGGGGCTTAAAGGAGATGTACAGTTGGATGTCATCTGCATAAAGATGGTAGGAGATTAAAGGTAATATATTAAGCTCAAAAGTAACAATATTTAACCCTAAAACAGGACACAAAGAAAACAAAAAGATTGCAAATAATAACACTCTGCGTTTGACACTAAGGAAGCCTAGATGGACAAGTGGAAGTGAGACATTTGTGAATGTGAGGGTAAGCACCTTAAGCTGTCTCAAAATCTTTTGTTTATAAACAAATTTGTAGGCTGAACAATTATAAAACTGTGATTGTTTTGCATTTAACCAATACTAGTACAATACACTACCAGTCAAAATATGTGGAAACACTGGTATAACAGGTATAACAGTCTTTCTCTTTTACAGTGAGTTACACTAATTTATACATATTTTATTTCTATTTTATTACACACACACACACACACACACACACACACACACACACACACACACACACACACACACACACACACACACACACACACACACACACACACACACACACACGCACAGTAGATTCAAATGGATGTATGTGAAGTGAAACTTCACTCAAACTCTTCAGATTCATTTATTTTTACACAAAGAGGAATTATTAACTTTTGCTTTTTTAAACTTTAGACTTTCAGATGAACTTCATGGCAAATCAGGATCATAAATACACAACGAACCACAGGAAGTCCTCAGCCATCATTTTCATGGTCCTATCGCACACAGACACCCAATAATACCTAGCTGCGGACGTAGCCCCGGCCAAACACGCCCCCTGGAACCCCCCCCCCCCCCCCCCCCCCCCCGACAAAACACGCCCCCCTGTTGAGCTGAGCTACCCCCGAGCTCAATAACGGCGGCCCTCCCAGCGAACAACACAGTTGAAAGAAAATAAATACAGAAATAGTAATAATGTAATTAAACAGACAGGACTCCAGGTTTAAATATGAATGTATGGATTTTTTTGGCCATCCCCAGTGAGATTATTTTTGTTTCTTGCATACACACTTTATGGCCATCCCCAGTGAGATTATAAAACACAGATACCACCAACAAATAATCAGTTGCCGTACAATAATCAGTTGCCGGACAATAGGCACAACATGCTTACTGAAGTTAGCAGGTGAGTAATGTATGTGCAAGTGTTTATTTTAAATGCAATAAAATTAAATGTCAGAAAAAGTAATTAGTGGTAATCGTTTTAATTAACCCCTTAAGCCCACTAGCCTCCACTTTTGGGAGCACACCTCCTACAGCAACATTTAACTTTCAACTATTTGTTATTACAGGCACTAACAGTGGGTCTAAGTTCATACGAGTGAGTAGTTAATATTTATGTTACTATTTATGATTTTTTTATTGCTTCTTTGCAGTGAAAAGCTGCTGATGTGTAATTTTTAGGCATATTTACATGTGTATATATGCATTTCATATATTCTGTTAACAGGAATAATTGCTGGCCCTTTGACACAAAATGTATTGATTTAGAAATTACTAAAATATTTTGCATTAAGTATACAGTTCACAAGACTAGTAAACTGATATTGACCATACACTAATCTGTAAAGAATATACTGTAAACACAAAAGCAGAAAAGTTTGGCTTTAGAAAAAAGTTCAGACCAATGAAACAACCAGCAACAGCTTTTATTGGCCTTACAAAAACCTTCGAAAAAAAAAAATAAAAATGTCCACACAATGAGATGAGTCCAGAGCTTTTCTGAATTTCTCCGAGTATATGAGCAGTTCCATGGCATAGGACATCAGCTGACTCTCACTAATGAGACAAAGATAAATAGCAATTAGTAGAAATGACATTTACACCTAGAGGCTGTCATAAACATTGTGAAAACAATACATATAGGCATTAGCATTGTTCTTGTGTTTGTAGAATACCTCCGGGCTACCACATTGCCGTCGTGAGTTTGCTGCTTATTAGATGAGGAGTCATAAACGGTCAAATAAATAGCCTATTGTTACATTTATTTTGGCCAAAAGGCTTGCATGTAGTCCATTAAAAATTATATTAAAAAAAATTGTGTCCATGACGTCTTCCCCACTGCCAATAATGCTTAATTTTATATAAAAGTGTTTCAGAAAAAAATTACGAATGCGCTATCTATCAAACTATGTCTTAGACGTTCAAATTTCTAGTACAAAATCTTCGCAAGTTGTAAAAATATAAATCTGTCTTTGCCTGAACCGTCATTTCCATCTCTTGCAACACGCATGCGAGTTCTCGTCTTCGTACATGCACGCGTGTTTTGTACGTAGGGGCGTATTTGGCTGGGGGCGTGTTTGGCCGGGGCTACGTCCGCAGCTAGACCTTACTCCAGACACCTGAGAGAGACCATTTTTGCCCCTCCCACACCCACACACAATACAAAGCAAGTCTTAATGTAGTCCAATTCAACAATTTTAAATTACTGGTGCAAATATGTTGAAGATGCAGTATGTAAGAATATAGTGAGAATTTTACAGTGAAACGCCCAACAGAGTCTATTGTTTCAGTGATTTTGGAAGGAAGTTTCTACTGAAACATATTTCTTATCCAACTGGCTGTGGGCATTGTCCGTTTTTCTTCTTTTAAATAAAGGAAGGAGGGACGTAACTAGTGTTTACCATCAGTGGGTGGGGGTGCAGTGTCTCCTGTGAGCTGATACTGCAGCGCCCACAATTGTAATTTGGCGACGGCCGGCAAAAAGCTCCAGAGTTGTTTAAAGTGGTTGTAGTAACCACATCTTACCCACTGACATATAGACTGGGCAATTCATTTCCATAGGCTCCAATAATAAGTTTTTAAGACAAAATGGGAGGTGGCCACCACCACCATTTTGACCGTGTCACAGGTTCCGTCAAGCCCAGACAATTCCAAAGAAAGGGAAGAGAGGTGGAGCTGAGGGTGGGGCTGTAAGGCTGGGACTCGTCAAACTGAAGCGATGTAGCTGCAAGCTAACCCAAAGCTAATGCGGAGGTGGGAGCTAAGCTAACGGAGGTAGCAACCTAGCTAACTGTGCACAACACCAGAGCTTCTGAGTCACAGATACGCCGGGCTGACCGCTGGGTAAAACCGGGTGGAACACAGAGGTCTCCCAAGAACTCCACAAGCCGGCAGCCGCGCAGCAGACAAGCGCCGCTGCGATCAGAGACGTGCAGAGCTGCTGCTGGGTAGAACCGGGTGGATAACATCGGTTTCCATCTGAGAGCTCCACAAGTCGGCAGCCCGCACAGCAGACAAGTGCCGCTGCGATCAGAGATGTGCAGAGCTGCTGCTGGGGAGAACCGGGTGGAAAACATCGGTTTCCATTACATTTAAATTTCATGGTTAAACAGTACATGTTATAATCTAAGTTCAGCTAGTGCAAGAGCAGCAGTGACCTAAAATACGTAAATATAATTTTACTTAATGAAAAAAATGAAGTGGAGACCCCTTGGACGGTCTATTAGAGCAATTAATTGATAGTCATTAACAGTCATTTTGTCCAACAATTGCACAAATAATATCCAAAAAGAATGCACAAACGGCACAACTAATGGTCTAAGTTGAGAGACTGAAAATCGCGGAACAGTTTTAAGACCAGGCTGAGGCCTTTCCCTGGAGCTAGCTCTGCGGTCACGTGGGTCTGATGCTCATTAATTATTCAGAATTTTAGGCATTTAATACACTTAAACAGAAGAGTGACAAAAAATTCACTCCCCTCAGAGTTGTCATGAGTGTAAACTAGATCTATTAGACCTAAAACATGTTTCGGAACCAGGCTGTAAACATGTTTATTTCTGCTGTGAATTGGTATTTTTAACATGGGAGTCAATGAGGACTTGCTCGCTTCTGACACCAGACCCCAGCGGATGAGGGTGGAACTACAATTTTTTTCACTTCCATGTTGGCTTCAATTTCATACCAGTATTATGGGGGCTTGATCTTACCACAGGATGTCATTTTTACTTCCGTTGTACATAATGCACTTTTAAATGTGTTTCTATTATTTTACAGTTTTAGTGATTGTTCCTTTTATTCTATACATTTTAGGACTATACACTGGACAAAAGTCACAAATGTACCCACAGCAAACCCACCATGATTACAAACGCTAAAACATGTGGCCTGTATCAGAGCTACGTATGTGAAGTTTGCAGAGAAAAAAAACGCATCAAAATCGGTTCAGAATTCAAGGAGTTATGGTTGATTTAACATGCTGACACTTCAATGCTCCTGTCAGAGAGGGGGAGGCTCGACCGATTCAAGATGGCGGCGCCACCGCTCGTCAGCGCCGACACGTGGGGTGCGTCTATTATGTCTATGGCTTTTACAGCACCTGAAGTGTCGTAAAGGAAACCCGTGGTCCGACTTATCTCCTTCATTTTGAAGCGATTTTTTAACGTCTTGTAACATGAATGCTTTATTGTTGGTTTATACTCTTTTGTAGCAGCTCGGTAACTGTTACAGGAACACTTTAATGGGCGGAAGCTAACAGAGAAGCCTTTTGGAAACAATGGCTGCAGATGACGAACAAGAACCGTCGTGTTTAAAAGAAAATGGGCAACTAAACATAATCCTGCATTCTGCGGTCAACTCCAATACTCAGCTGCTACCAGGTTTGTATGTTTTTATTCTTATCAAGCTTGATGATAACGGTAGTTACCATTTAAATGTATGTAGTTTTCAGATGTCTGGTAGCATTACTTACAGGTGAAAGAATGAATGAGTCTTGTCACAGCACCCTCCCTTAGGACTCAGCATATTAACTTAATAATATTAACAATAACCTTTTGCATGGGGGACAGCTATCAGCAGTAATTGATTTCTTCTGTGATGCAAACAACCTGACTTTGATCAGAATTACCAAAACGGAACTGCAATATTTTTGTATGAATTTAATTCAATAATACAACCATATTTTATACAAGACATTACAAAAAACAGGGTCACTCACCAGTGTTAATTTTTTTTTCAACTCAAATGTTGATCTTTTATCTGACAAACTTTTCAGTAACTCTTTTGTTAAAGTACAAATAAAAATTCTAGATTTTGTTCACGTGGAAAAGTTATAAATTTGCCCTCTATTAAAAAAAAATTCATTTGTTTTGTCTTGTTAGCTAACAAGTATAACCAATATGGTTGCACACTACTTGGGGATGTAAGAAAATATTGATATGGCAATATACCTTGATATTTTTACAGTAATTTTATATCGATATTCAAAATCTGTTTTTCTAATTTTTGGAAGAATTTACATGCAAACATTTGTGTATTTTTTTTCTTTTGGTTCAATTCACATGCTGACAGCTAGTTGGCAGCAGTGCACAATGGATTTTGTTTCCACCATTGAAATGTAAATCCCTCTATTATGGTTCAGATACCTCATGTTAAACATGTTAAGTATCAGTTTGGACTGTTTAGTGAATATTCCTACAATAAAGTTGTTAAAATATATGCTAATAACGTCTGACTGAATGTATGGCAATATATTGTGATACATAGTATTGTCTCCCCTGTATCGTGATATGTATCATATTGCCAGAATTTCACCTATAGAGCTCCGGGAGTTGACGTCACTTCTCCCGGCATGCAACAGTTCAAATCGAAGCTGCGCCATCTTGGCAGGCAGAAGGCCGCAGCTAGGCTATTTGTTACTGTCAGAAAACTCAGTCAAACGGGAAATATGGTAGATTCCTGTTGTGCCCCAGGATGCAGAACAGACGCGGATGCCGCAAACGTTGGATCATCGCAATGAAACGCGCTAGTGGCCGGCCTAAAATGAAACTGTGGGATCCCGGGAGTAAAGGTTTTCGCTTGTGCAGCGACCACTTCAGATCAGGTACTTAAACTAACGTTTACTCAACTGTGTATGGTATTTATTTTAAATGCTTTTATTACAATTCTTAGTGGGCTTCCTGAACTTATTTTGGCGTGGCTTTTTCTGTCTTATTACTCATAGCAACAAGTAAACATCACGTAAAACTAGGGCTGCACGATATTAGGAAAACCTGCGATATTCTATAACAGTGCTTAATATTGCGATATCGATATTACTTGCGATAAATGAACAAATACTAAAGTATGCAGTGTTGATGTCGTCTGGCGTGTGACGTCTGCTCAGGGTTCAAAGCAAACAAAAACTAGTGCATGAATTCCATTACAACATAACATTTTTATTGAAAAAATATGCAGCTGCACCTGCTACTGTACTAGCAGCAAAACAACAAACTGCATGCATGCAGTTTCTCAGTGACCACCATAAAACTTTTTCTGTTGCTCCAAATACAGAAAAACATCCGTTACCAGGGTTTTTAAATAAATAAAAAAAAATCTGAAAGTAAGTTTAAATGATAAATAATAGTTAACATCACTTAAATGCAACACCAAATTCTCTCATTGCTACTGAGCATTTTCTCCACTTATGTGGTTATGATATAAGGCTGTTGCTGTAATTGGGAAGTGAACTGTGCTGGGCCAAACTAGGAGAAAATTAAGATTTTCTGAGGGAAAGAGAAAAACAATTGTCTACCTTTCAGAAGAGGAACTGGCAAACAACTACATGGAAAATATGTGAAAGCGTTTGGTTTTAACCCCAAATTGAACAAGTTTACCTAGATCTTAAAAAGCAGCTCAGATGATGAAACTGCAACTATGATTCTGATAACAAGCTAACAAATTGAACAAGCTCCTCTAAAAGATAACCGGCTAGCAGAGCTTCTGACTGACAGTTTATGTGCAACAGCAAATCAACTATCCTGATTAACAAGGTTATAAACGCTCATAAATGAAAAATCACTTTGATGTGTGGGGGAACTTTTCCAGGCCCTCTTTAGCAGGGTGGGACTGGGAGGAGAGTGCTGTAGCCTTTTAGCTGGAAGCTAACCGGAGCCTGGGGCTAACATCACCACCCAGTGGAACACTAGCAACATGAAGGTGGGTTGGTTCACCGGCACGTGTCGGAGTCAGCCCGGTAAAAATGATTAACGACACAGAGCGGACTCACGTTCACGTTTGAAAGCAGCGCTGGTAGAAAGAGCTGAATTAGGAGAGGGTGATGAAGAATAAACTGAAAGTCACACAAAAGCCAGCCTGAAGAGATAAGCTTGCCATGTGTGGTGGTGTTTGTGCTCCACATCTTATTAAAGGGGTCGTCAACCCTGCCTCAGAGTCCTTCTCCACCCACATATCAATTTTGGAAAATGCAACGTTAGTAGGCGTTGCCTGGCGGACTGAGAGTACGGAGCTGCGACAGTGACGAAGGCGGATGGGTAACGAAACTATGCTAGCTCCTTTCACTCTGAGCAGTCATTAGAAGTGGAGGACGTTTCTCCCCCTCCTTACCCAGACAATTGAAACGAAAGGGACCAAGTCTATTTGGAGGAGACAAGTGGACCTGAACCTTATTGTTTTGAACTTGAGAGTTGCCTGGAACCCCCGGAACCGAGCAGAACTAGCTATTAGGGCTGCAGCTATCGAATATTTTTGTAATCGAGTACTCCATCGAATCTTTTTTTTCGATTAATCGAGTACTCTAATAAATTACCCTTTTGTGTTTGTAAACCATTATATCAAATAGCATGTTATAATTATGAAAGACCTCTTAAAATGAGCAAGCAATTGCCAGTTATTCTTCAAGTTTTATTCAAAATTAGTTTGCAAAACTTCAGCACTTCAACTTTTCTTCACAGTAAACAAATGCGTGTGCAAAAAATAAGTATACAACCTGAGCCGATTTTCCCCTCGTGCGAGAATCTGCTAGCCTGCAAGCCAGACAAAAACTAGGAGGATAACTGTTGAAGTAGCGCTGCGAGCGGCTGCAGCCCAAACAGAACCAGAACCGCTCACGGCGCAAACAGCTCGCCGGCTGTTTCCCTATTAACACGTTCGTTTTAATTTCTACACTTTTTGTCTCACACTAACAAGGATTGTCGAAAGCATGTTTGTCGTGGTTATGTCAAATTATACTGATCACAAAACATTTATTTACTTTCTTTCGTTTTCCTCCACCACTCTCATAAATACCCACGTCCTCCTGCAGCAATCCCGAGGGAAAAAAAATATCAATAACAACACAATAAAAAGTCCGACATATTGTGTAAAAACTGCTATTTTTTAGCACATTTTAAGTCTGACGTGTTGCTACCAGATGTACGGTGTGAGCTGAAACTGAGTGCTACAAACGAAAAAGTCGCAGTGTCTGCAGAATATATAGAAATACAGGCTAAAATGCATTATCTTGTAGAGGCTCCGAGTCCGCTTGCAGAAGTGACATTTACAGGTGCTGCAGCATCGAGGATGTGGTGTTGTGGTAGGCTAAATCCATTTTACAGTTTTTACACTGGACTACGTTTTCCACCTTACGACGTAAAAAATGGTCCCACACCTTTGACATTTCCTGTCTTTTTCGCACTCCACCGGGGTTCAAATTGTCCGCCATGGCTTAAGAGAAAGTTAAGTTACATTCGCTACTCGCGTGTGCATTCAGCCCAGTGGGCATGTGCGTCACTTATTGCGGTCCGGGAGAAACATGACCCCGGGCGATTGCAAAGCCATGAATTAATTAAATATGAATTAAACGAATCCTCGAGGCAGAGAATTTGACTCGAGGATTTTTTGTACTCAAATTATTTGAGGTACTCGAGGAATCGTTTCAGCCCTACTAGCTATGAATGGTAGGTAGCTGTAAGCCATAGCATTAGATTAGCTGCAGGGTTCAGCTCCACAGCCCTAGAGAGCTGTTATCCATCATATTTTAGAGGTTTATCAGCTTCAACCATCGGCATATTTATACTGGACAATTCCTGTCCATAGACTCGTATTACAAGTTTTTAATCTGAAATGGGAGGTGGCCACCTCCCCCATTTTGACTGGGTCACACATCTTGTCACACCCAGACAATTCCATAGAAGGGAAAAGAGGTGGAGCTGAGAGTGGGGCTGTAAGGCTGGGATCAGATGATGACACCCGTCGAACTGAAGCGATGCAGCTACAAGCTAACCCAAAGCTAACGTGGAGGTGGGAGCTAAGCTAATGGAGGTAGCTACCTAGCTACAGCCGGAATTAATTGTGCACAACACCGGAGCTTCTGAGTCAGAAATGCGCCGGGCTGACCACTGGGTAAAACCGGGTGGAACACAGCGGTCTCCCGAGAGCTCCACAAGCCGGCAGCCGCTCAGCAGACAGGCGCCGCTGCGATCTGAGATGCGCCGAACTGCCGCTGAAGGGAGGGAGTCCATACCGATAGTCGGAACCCAGCTCCACCAACATGTCATTTCAACCCATTTTCTAAAGTGCAGCATTATGTTAAATGCACTGGGTTTACCCTATTACATTTAAATTTCATGGTTAAACAGTGCATGTTAAAATCTAAGCTCAGCTCGGTAGTGACCTAAAATACATAAATATAATTTTACTTACAGAAAAAAATGAAGTGGAGACTCCTTGGACGCTCTATTAGTGCAATTTATACCCCTGCAAGTCATTTTGTCCAACAATTGCACAAAAAATATCCAAAAAGAATGCACAAACGGCACAACTAATGGTCCAAGTTGAGAGACTGAAAATCGCGGAACAGTTTTCAGACGAGGCCGAGGCTCAGACTGAGGCCTTTCCCCGG